TTTTTTTTAACAATTACACCATTTATCATACATTATGAAAATTAATTATGGGTTAATTGCTACATTAGAATTTAATAAATTTTTGGACTTTTACATATCGAAAAGCAGATGGCTGCGTTCATGAAGAAATTTTTTATTTAATATATGCTGTATATGCTGCGAATTTTGTTTGTAAAAATTGTGTAATAGGAATGTTCTAATCTTACACATCATTGCTAATTGTTATATAATTATGTAATTCAATAATATCTTTGTGTAAAAAGTTAGGAAGCAATGCATTTGACACAGAAATCAGTCTATTCACATAATATGAATAAAACGATTAATCTATGATAAAGAAAAAGTGAATAATGTTTACAATTTTATGCTGTTAAGCATGTACTAATTTTAAGGGAGTGCAATGATGAAGTAATATTTTGAAACACCTTGTATATAAATAGATGATAATCATAGACATGCATACAATGCATTACATTAAATTGTTTATCTTTTATTGAATCATATCCCATGAATATATACAGAAGTTAGGTTTAATACTGACAGTACCGCAATGGCATTCCAGTCTATATTGTATATTAATGTAAATCAATATTATGATTTCAGACTCTTAGAAATTCTTGATGTTATCACATCTCAATATAAATTAAGAGATTTATTCTTAATATTTTGTTATTTAAATTATTCTTTTGTTATCTGATTAATATTTTTGAATTTATTATTTAATTCTATATAAAATTACTAGAAAATAAAACATAGACTATTTGAAAGATTATCATGTTTCATGACGATTTTTATTTCAATAATGTTGATTTTATCATTTAATTACACATTCATTAGTCCAATGCAGAAGTTTCTTTCTTATCTGTTAAAATCATATTTGTAAATGAACGTCTTGTAATATTAAAATGTCAAAATACTTCCGATACCGTAATTCGTTTCATATCATACATGGCATACACATGTCATTTAATTCTAAATACATTTTTGAAAGACTATTTCATTATGTATTTTTTTATTTGAATTACATTGTATTATAAATAAACTAATCAGACATTTATATCTGTATTCAGTCTAATAAGATAGGAAAATTGTAAATAGAATTTAGTAAAACGTAATTTTTAGAAATAAGATCATTAAAGGAAAAAGTAATTTCTTATAATTTAAGTATAATGTGACTCATAGCAATAGAATGTTCCTATGCACATTGAATGTAACTGTTTTCAAAATCATCATATTACGTAGTAACAGATTTTTGTAACGTTGGCCTGACAAATTTTTATACAGAACAAAATGTTATTTCGTCCGATGAACGAAGTAACAGATGAAATATATCAATTGTAACAAAAAATAATCATTTTCACAAAATTGTATGCAAGGAGTTAATTACAGAAAAAGTTCCTCAGAATATGAAACGATCATGGTATCGATCATAGACATTAACATTATAGAAGAGGGAATAAAAAAAAGCGGTGCTTGGAAAAATAATATAATGTAACATTTTTAATATTTAAACATGTAGATAACTTCGCCTTTGTTTTATAATAAACTAGCGTTATTAATGTGTTAGGAATGAAAACGAATTATCATTTGTCATACCATTACAATTATCTTATAACAACAGTTTATTTTGTCGATTGTGTAATATATAATTACATAGTTAAAAACATGCAAATAATAAACATTATAATAAATAAAATAATTAAAATTGGTTTTCCAAAGTTCACAAAAATCAAGAACATATTTAAAGTAATAAAAATGAAAATTTTATTTATATAAATACATATTTAATAACACGTTTTTTATTTACTGCTTATTGAAATTACAATTTTCTCTTTTTTACATATTTTTAATTGTACTAAACCATTTTTGCATAAGATAATTTAAAATGATTCGAAAAGTATTAAAAGTTTTAAAGGATTTATATTTTTAAACAATGCAGCACATTATTTCTTTTAATTTATACATTTTATATTTATTATTTATATTCATTCGTTTATTTACACTATCTTCATATTCTAAATAAATAAGATGCCTTACAGGGGATATACTGTTGCACAGAGAAAATATACAGGGAGATACAATTACAATTTTAGATTTTATTTGATTACATTGTATGCTTCAGCATACTAAAGAATACATGAAGCAAGTAAAAAAATGTGATTGCGAACCACAAGCACGCGATGTAATAATTTATACATCAGATAAAATTAAATAAGATATCTGTTAATCGTGCGATGTATGGAATAGATAAGGATAAAATATAAGTTAGAAGGTTAAAAATAAAATTCAACGTTATCGCACAGTCGCATTAATAAACTTACCTATATACTATGATCACAGTTACATTCATAATTATTATAAGTTATTACATGTCATTATCGTCTTTATCATTATTATCATATTTTACTGTATATATGTACATTCTGGTTATAAATAGGTGTATGTTCAATTAATTAAATATAATCTGATTTGAAAGCCTATGACTAGTGATACCTATTTTCTCGTCAATGACAGTACGACTGATAATACTATCGCAATCTGATATAAATGAAGCTTCAAACAATTACGAGTAATAACAATTACTATATCATATTTTAAAAACAATTCTATGCCTCTCCTTTAATACACTGTACACGTTTTTTCTTCATTTCATCAAATATCTTCATAACATTAGTCTTATACCTTTGTTTCACTTAAATTATTTTTTTGTTTACTGATATTTAATGTGGGGCTAAGTCTGAATATTATGCACACACATCCGCGGAACCAAACCTTTTCGATCACCTCTTGCACATAATAACCATTTACTATCTACCTCTAAAATTACTTTCAGCTTCTCTCCTTCTGCAAATGCAAGATGCCCATTATCTGATGGCATTCTATGTGTGAGTGTGCGAACCTCTCTGGAATCGAGATGCGCGATCTGTTATTTTACTAATCTATAAAAAGGGAACAGAAAGGACAAACCAAAGATTAAGCTCTAAACTTAAAATAAAATAGCTATTATAATAAAACAATATATATAAATTATAAATAATACGATAAAATACTACAAGAATTAATAAAATGCAAAATAATAAGAACACGAAACGTTGCAACGTTTCTGATAATTAAAAATTCAATGAAATGAATATACTTAACGCATTGAACCTATTTTATTTCTCTGTACTTACTTAAGTGGTTTTTTTGTAGGATGATTTCTTGTAGTATTAGTAGTAGTTGGTCGTGGTAAAGACGTAGACGCTGCTCGTCTTTGAGGAGATACTAAATGTTTATCCTTAGACATTACACCGTAAGACTTGTATGGTAGAGAACTAGGTCGTGTTAGATGAGTTCTTGTTGTTCCTATAATTTCCTGATCCACTCTACTAGTACGTTTTGTTGTATCTTTGTTTCTTACGTCTATTGGTTTTTTCGGAGTGGTTTTTGTCGTTGATAACATAACAGGCTTCTTCAAGGATGGAATCCCGGAAATTGGAGATTTCGTGTTTTTAACAGGTCCTGATATCGTATTCGATTGTTTTACTGGTGAAGTAAGAAGCCTAGGTATCTTAGACTTTCCTATACCGGTAGGTGTTCTTATAGGTGATAAAGGCGATGATATCGTCGGTTGAATTTTTGCCTCTTCTTTTCCAACCATTAATTCCCACTTTTCTTGAAGTTTTCTAAATTTCTCTTCTCCGGACATATTGTCTTCATCGTCCATTTTATTTTCTGAATTATGAGATTTCCTTGATACAGGCTGTTTATTCGACGCTCTATTCAATGGTGAATGTTCTAAACTATCGGTGTAATCTTCAGAATCTTCGGAAGCCAGTTTATCAAGAGCACGAAATATTTTCGAACCTATAGGATTACTTAAGCGTTTTTTAACAGTTTCCATATCTGACTTATGTATACCAGGCTTCTCGTCATAGTTGTTATAAGCGACGCATGATCGCGGACGTACTTTTCTGGGACTAGAAACTATTGCACACGTATCAGTTTTATCAAAATGATGTTCTTTTGAATCAATATTTCTAAAGTTTACAGCCTGTGAAATATTTTTAGAATAAAGTTTTTATTGCATGGTAAAATTTTGATAATAAAAATAAAATTGAAAATTTATAATACTAACATTTATTGTATGATTATGTAAACTGCCAAAACTATTATGTAGTTGACGATACTGATATAGAAGATCAAGCTGAAAAGGGCAAAATGCAAGAGGATTTAGAATATGTAAGAGAGCATCGATAACTTCTCGCGCATTTGCATTAGCCAAAGCTGCTACAAATAAACTGTTACTATTGTAATGTTTCCTTAAGATGGATTCTCTTGTACATAAATATGCAAACCATGCGTCCAAAGCTCTTAAACTGAAAAATTTATAATTCATTTATAATATGATTATAACATATGTACATAAAATAATATATTGCAATATTAACTCACTTTAATAAACCAAATACAAATGCATGAAACTTTAGCATTCCCTCAGTAATAACATCATCGCCATTAATTTTTTGTACTAATTCATTTAATGTTTTAGTAACTGGACCTTGTTGAGAAGATGCTTCAACCACTTGCCAAACACTATTTGTTATTGGTCCAAATGTTGAACTTAAATGCGATTTCAATCCATCTGACATGATAGTATACAAAGCTGGACATAAATTACTAACACAGATTTGAGCGCATTCATTTTTATCATTATAATTCTGTCTATGGATTGATTCACTATTCCAATATTTGAGTAATAAATCTGCCGCTTTATTTACGGATAATATCATTTCTGGAAATTTATAAATAATTATAATTCAGAAGTAAAATTTTGTTAAAATTATAAATAATATATTTACTTCTCTTTTCATCTAAATCCAATTTATTATCTGGGCTCATTGCTCTTCTTTCCTCTGTAAATGCAGAATCTTTTTCTTGTTCATTTGTAACAATGTTTAAATTAACCTAAAATAAATATATTTTCCAAAAATTAATCACATGTGAAATTTGATACAAATGATGCATATACGAAACTTAAGTAAAATTACCTTATTATCTAAATATTTTTTTCTTTGGTTTACGGCAAAGCTGACAGTCTTTTTCTGTGATTCTATCATATCAGTAACTTTGGTAACATCTTTATTCATCCTGAGAGCTAAAAACTTTCTTACATACGATCTTAATTTAACATCGGGATCTTCAGTGTCTCCATCACTACTTTGTGACGAAAAACCACTGCGTTTCAAAAATTCTTCCAATTGTTTTACATCGTCTTCACTATTTTCACAATTTTCAATCTCTAAGTCGCCAGTATTAGCCAATTCATTCACTCTTTCTACATGATATTTTTCTTCCGTCTCATCGACATCTTTCTCTGAATCAATAATTCGACCACGACACGTTAATTGTAAATCGTTATTCATATAATATGGTTCTTGTAATGACATTCTTTTATTCGTTTCAGGAACCGACTGATCTTCTATTTCTTCTACATCTCCCATCTCGAACATGCTATATCTCTTACTTGCAGGAACCTTGCTTTTCCTTAAAATACTTCTGGGTAAAGGTGGTCTTGGTGGCACTTTTCCACTAGAAAATTCGGATTCACGATCACCGTGTGGTAAAGAGATCGATCGTTTTGGGAGAGATGGACAGACTGTTTTTGTCTTGCTAATTTGCCTATGCATCTTTTTATCATTACTTACTAAACTGGCCTCAGAACTAATACTATCATAACGGTAAAGATACAATGGATTGGTTGCATTTAATGTTTGTTGATTTGTTGACGAGTCTGTTAATATGGTAGAAGAACCTCGATATCCGGAGGATGGTTGTGTCGCGGTACTGCTAGTGGAGGATGAATTATTTGGTATGATTTCACTTATAGTACGAGTTTTATGACGCATTGGAGGGGATAAACAAAACAGCGGCTTTTTCGTTTCTTCATGAATATTAATATGTTTCGACACTTCTGGTACATCGTGCAAAATTTTCTTGTACTCAGCAGGCAAGAGAAATGTTAACGACTCCCAATCCTTAACATGTGAAAATCCACGTTGACGCAACGTGTCTATATCATTACATGAAAATGGTCTACCAGATCTACCAGTATGTTTCCAACTAACTCTATTTTTTCCAAAGCATTGCGGCTTTAAGGCTATATTATCCAATTTTGTATCTTTAATATTGAGAAATGATAAGTCAGGCAAAGCGTAATTCGGATATACAACATAGACTGGCTTTTTATTAACAATCGTTTCCTTTAGAGACGGATTTTCTTTTTCCTTTATGGGCGGTGTATATACTAATGATGTTTGAACTGAATTATCCTCTGTTTCAGCTATTGCTTGAATACCTGTCGTCTTGCATATTGGATATTTCTTCTCTAATGACTTAATCCATACAGTTTTTCGCTGATGTTCGAAAACATTAGGACCGACATCAATGTGATTTTCCTCAGCATCATTACCATGTGTTAGATCTGATTTAGACATGTTCTCTGATAACTCTTCTATAGATGCAGATGACATCATTTCATCCTTTTGTTCACTTATCGTTGATGTATATTTTGGAATGTCATTAAAGCTGTCTTTTTGATTATCTGTGTCCTGATTGTTATGTTGATCACTTTTGACCCAATTAATAGAAAAATCAGTTTCTGGAACTTGACGTTTAGAGATATTATTTATATTTTGCCGTTGTATTTGCGTATTTGTATTAGTACCACTGTCACTAGCACTATTATTTGTAGGCCATCCGTTATCACTAACAGAGTCTGATTGATCCAATGTAAGACTCATTCCTTCAGCACTCATACTTTTTTGTTTCATAAACAATTTTACAAGACTTAAATTTTGCAATTTCTTTCCTGTTGAATTATGTTCTCCATTATCAGAACTTTCTTCATTTATAGACCGACTCATTACAGATCCTGAACTGTGTAACTGTTGTACATGATTATTTGACTCTGCAGAATCAACCTGTTCAAAAATATTAAAAATTTTTACATTATGAAGATATTTTCTCGAGGTTTTAAAACTTACAGAAAAATTGAGAGGCATATTAACGTGTAACTGTCTAGCTTGAGTAAGATCTGGCAAACTTTGACTTCTCTTATTTGATGCAGATATAATATTTTCCACTCCATGTGAAAATTCTGGTATTGTATTATTATTGCCTGACGGATGTCGAGTTATAATTTTATTCATAGAAGAATGTTTCAAATTGCTCCATGTTGTATATATTTTAGAATCAGAACATGCCATTGATAAGTCTAATACATTTTTCGAGTCCACATTTCTATTATAATATGGTTCTGCCGTTTCATAAGTTTTCTGCTGCTTTTCTATAAAAATAAGTCAACAAAATTATATATTTATATTTGTTTGCTTATACACATCTAATATCATTTAGTCTTGTACCTTGGTTTTCAAAATCTTGAGAACCATCTGAATACATTGTGATACTACCCTCAAAAGCAATAGTGTAGTTGTCTTTATTATTCGTCTGACATGTTAGCAGCATATCCTCGCAGTCCAGAGAGTCGACGCTATAACTACCCCCTGGTGGTAGTATGGGTGTCTCTTTCAAAGGAGAGAAGAGTAATGACGATTTGCAAATAGAAATTGTATCTGTTGTTGAACAAGCAGAATCTTCTCCCTTTAATAAAAAATGTGATTTTAATATGGATTCTATGTATTCTTGAATAATTTCATGCGTATATATAAAATAGTACAGCTTACTTTCATGCACTGCTTAAATAAAAATGTTTTTATTAATTTTAATAGTTTCTATTTCTTGTAGTTGTTACATACAAATTAGCTTATAATTATTTGTTTTATTAATCATGCAGAGGAATTGCAAGCAAATCAAGTTTTATTTTCATATTAAGCAAAATTCATATCAAGTGTAAAACACTTTTATATTAATATCTTTAATATCTATATTAACATCTTTAATATTAAAGAAACATCAGTAAAAGAAATTTAACATTTTCAGCCATTATCATACCTGGCTGCTGGTATGAGGGCTGATTGATGAACCGATGTCAAGTTTTTCCATAACAGATCCAGATATACTGGCATATCGTTCCCTTTGATAGTTAAACTGCCATAATAATGAAGATATAGAATGCTTGTAGAATGTTATTTACAACAATAATGAACAAGTAGGAAATATTTTAAGATGTTACAATTAAAAATCACAATTAATGATTATTTATAGATTAAAAAATAACATTTATCGAAAAACATGTCAATTTATCATATTATATCATATTATCATTTATTAATAACATTGTAAAATACTAGTGTTTGTAATATCCAAAAAGATTTACATAATATATTTGCTTGCAAACTATCCACAATGAAAATATAATTGTTTCTGATAATTAGATTGTATAACTTACGTTGTAATATAAAGAACAGATTATATAATAATGAATTTTATTTACCTCTGAATGCTGAACTGGATCTGTGCACATGACGGGCAATGCTGTAAGCAAAGTATGGATATCTGCTGTACGAAAGCTTTCCATATCAATCTCTGCCAAATTGGCATCCAGATTACGGGCAAGATCATCATAATAGCCCAAATCTTCCCGCGAATAAGAAGCAGAGAGTGAGGATAACACACTTGGATGAACATGAAGTCCTCCATCTCTATAGCTGTCATTTTATTAAACATAAATATATATATATATATATATTTATAATATAAACGTACTGTAATTCTTATTAAAACCTCACCCATAATCAATGAACCATTGATACTCCACATTGTCCTGCACAAATTCAGAACTAATTAAATCATGTTGAATAGAATCTATTGCAGGATTGGAGTTACAATCAGATCCTGGTGTTTGTGGATCTTCCATCATTGCAGCCCCCTTGCCTGCACCTAAGAAACATTACACATCATTAGTAAGCAATCGCTAAGTCATACACAGTTAATAAAAGCCATGAAAAAACAGACCATATCTCGCATAAACGAAGTGCTTTTCTGGTTTGTTAAACATGTTTCTTTTTTTCACCAATATAACATTGCAAATCACATATAATGCAAAAACTCTTGCTGCTAAAATTACATGATTTAATCATCTGGTTACATTATTTATATTCATTGACAGATCACAAATGTGTCAAATCTTTATATTGCATTTATTGCGATTATTTATTCCATGCGTTACACAAATCATGTACAAAAACAGGGACTGAACGTACAAAACTGAATAAGCTTCGTCGTTATTGAAAGTATGTGATAACCATTTTTTTTATTGATGTAAAGCTGACATAGTTGCAGTACCATAATAATGACGATGAGGAATTACAATTTCTGGAGCACCACAGAGAACTACTTACTCAAACGGCTTCAATAGCACTATCAAAGCACTAACAAACATGTTAAAAGCTTTTCTTCGTATACAGTGAAACGTTCACAAAGTAAAGAAGTGTCAGCGAATGACGTCAGGCTAAGGTTATGGCGGACGGATTTGAGCAAGTACGCTCACGTTCCGTATCGGGGATGATCAAGGCTGCGCATCATCCAGACAGTTAAGAGGGCGTGTTTTAAGGTTAATTGTCACGTAATAAATAATTAATCAATCGATCGGCAGATATTAATTTTAGTTTGAAAAACTGATGAAAATGCGTGCACGATAATGGATAACGATATGCTCTGAAATAATTCGAAATTCCTCAAATATGTATATACGACGAAAAATTCGAATATCTACTCGATACATACAAAGACTTGACAGATTTCGAACTTAAGTCATAATAGATGTAGATGTTGAATCTTTAAAGTTCAGAAACGTAGTAAGTATCTAATATCTTAGATATATGATCTTTTATATTAGATCTTCAATATCTTATATAAGATTATGAAACCCATCAAGACTTCCAAGAATTTAAGTATCAAAGCGTGCTCATAGTACTAGATACTGGAAAATTCGAACTGTTTCAGAATTGAAATGTATGTACATGGGCCTATCATTTTCGGAATTACCGAAAGATCAAAAATCGATTGTCTAATAATACTTGTTAAACATAATTAAACAGTATGAATTTTCTATATAAATTATTTATTAACATACTATCTAACGTCATAATAATATATTATATCTCGTCATGCAATGTGAAAAAACACTAATAAGTCAGGAAACTTAATGTCATTATATGTATATGTTAGATTTACTTCTATGTTTAGTCTTAGATATTATATGGCCAACGTAACAATAGCAAAGTTATAAATATTCTAAATGCTCAGTGTCATTCGTAGTTTACGACACATGTGAATAACTCAATGGATACCAGTACACATCTTCAATGACTTTTGATCTGTCTCGTTAGAAAAACTAAAACTGATACAGAACGAGAGAGAGAGAGAGAGAGAGAGAGAAAGAGACTGTTTTGAGAAACCAGTTACAAATCGTACCTCGAGTAATTCTTTTCCATCGCATCGCCACGGTCGCTCGGAGTTTTCGTTCTACGGAGAATATTTACATATTTGATAAATGTTATCCGAAAACACTCATGCTCGCGACCATATGGCGATGATCCGTCCGTCACTCATTGGACTTAAGAATTCATTTCAACTGCGCCTATGGAGTAGGTACGATTGCTAATGCGGCGCATGAGCATTACTGATCCAACGTAAAGGGTGGGCGAAAGGAAATCGGATACAACACGGCTGAATTTAGGCTACGCTAGATTTGTTTTGTCACTTGTCAAATTGAAAAACTTGTCACTTAAAAAACATTCACGCTTGAATAAAAGATTCTATTTTTTTTCCTACATTTTTGCGCAGAATCATTGCTTTAATTCTCAAAATTCGATATGGTAAGAAAATTTTTGTATTGATAGTTCATGAATTCCAACAATTATAATTATTTTTACTGTTTCTAAATAATCTAACTATTACTTATTAATTATTATAAGAAATTCAATAAAATTTGATTATTTTTAGTATCATGTGAAACCGAGACCTGTTTTTAAAATTATAAATGAAAGAATCTTTAGGTTAAAATCTTTCTATATGATCTCTTTGTTAGCAAAACTATAAGGTAAGATTAAAAACTCAAGTCCAAAATTTCTTTACTAATTTTTATATTTGTACTTTTGTAAGAAGTACAAAGTTGCATTATTTTATTATTATTTTATTGTTTGTCTCTTAATGCTACAAATAGTAACTTACTAAAATGTTTCAGCAAGATTCTGGCATCACCAAGTAATTGGTTTTTCGTATTTCTTTAAAGCTTTCACCTGAATTTGACTAAACCTGATTGATGTCGGACAATAGAACTTATCGGCAGTAATATATATTTAATGGTCTTCATATCAAATACTAATCGCGGTTTCATCCATCTGAAAAAAAATTCTTCACGGTATCTCGTTCAACAGTGTGGAGAGTACTGGATAATTTTAGCAAACTGTAGAAGTAGCGAGGGAAGTCGCAGAAGAAATTCAAGAGCCAAATTTCACGACAGGAAAATTTTACATGATGACTCGATGAAATATAATCCGCAAATCTGCCTGCCAAAACTGATTCTCTTGGCTTGGCTTTCACTCGCAATTTTTTCTCCACTAAATAAATTTAACAAATCTATTCTAATTTAATAAAATTCCTTTTTCACGTTTCTTCATATTCAATTCGATATTTTTTCATATTTAAACATGCAATATTTCACTAGAAATCTAGAAACAATATCATTTTTTACTACTTGTGCTTTTTTCAGGAAATTAAAAACAAGAATTTTAATGACTCTAAATCAAATGGAACTGTCATGTAAAAATATATTATGAATCATCACGTGATCATATCTCAGATGTCATATAGTTATTTTTTCCTGTGCGCATATGTAAAATATTTCTGCATTGAATGCGCTGCCCAAAATAGTAGGGCCAAGGGTCATTTCTTACATATGTACCCGTGGAAGAGTTTTAAATTAAGCTTCAAACTAAATAAAACTTTTTCGAAGAACTTAACAGTGTCACATATACTTCAATCGTCTTGTACGGGAATGCAATTCTTGAAACTATCCATTTAAATTGATGTTATTATTCTATCATACTCAACAGTACGTTTATTAGTGATTGTTAATACGCGTAGCCTTGAACAAATAGGTGAGACATTTTACTATTCTCCACGGATCTAAATAATCTGAAATAGATGTTAATCTGAAATATGTTTGGTATTAGTATTCAACATGATTTTACTATTTTTTTTAAATATATTCTATACTTTTTATGGATAAAATATTCCAAGAAAAGAAGATGCCTGAAGCGAGGAGAATAGCAGAATTAATGATAATTAAGCTGACCAAATGAAAAATAGAAGAAGAAGAAAAAAAATCATGTTCATATACGGATTTTATGCGAAGAGAGGTCTGAGATTTGAATCTATTTCCTATTATTGGGTTTATCAAGTGTTCCATCTATTGTATTCATGAACTCAATCGTTGTTAATAGTATACTCAGATACTATTAAAGATATATTATTTATAAAGTATATTAATTTTTGTGTATTCTTACGATTATAAACTAAACAATGGCACATATCACTGGGCCGCCGGTAATATTTCCGTTCTTTCCTCTTCTGTTTGCCATAGTGAAGATGTGGCGGTGCAGGCGTTTGGAATGGTGGGCTCATGCGACCCACAGAGAACTCTGCTATTTTCATGATGACGCACAACAGAAGCACTATCATCATTTGTCAATATTCAGCGTTTTTATTGTTCTATCACGTTACAACATAGTAGTAACGCTTTCTTATTGGATAGCCAGCCAGAAAGTGTCTTCTCACTTCTCACGTAGATTTTCGAAAGAAAGTCGATCGAATCACGCGTTATTTTAATAACTAACAAATGAATAGTAAGTACAAAAGTTTAACAATTATCCGATACATGGATATACCGAAACTCTTTTGTTCATTGTTTTAAAATATTCACTTTTCATTAATCTACTACAGACAGTGGGTATATGTACATTTATCACTGCAAAGCTACATCACGAATGGGAACAGTTCTCATGACACTCCACGGTCTTCCGACACTTTTTTTTGTATGAAAGATGTTTGTACTTTGACGAATGAAATACGGGTAAAACACAGTCGATTACTCGTCTCTGCTCGAGCCGATGACACCTTTCAAAGATGCCTTTGTTTATAGCACATCACTTCGCTGCAACGTTTACATCGCGAACAATGAACATGCATATTTGTCGTAGTTAAACCCACGTTTCCGGTTTTACTGACAGAAGAAAACGACGTCTACGCGCGGAAAGTCTAACTGCAACTGTATAAATCTTGAAGAATTCAAGTATCAACAACTACACCGGCTATATACTGGTTTCTACTGCGGAAAAAAGATATCACAATTAAAATTCATATATTAGATTATTTGTTCAACTAAATTTCGCTTCAACATTTGCTGATTTTTGATCTTGAACAGTGTAGAATTTGCAATATCAAGACTTTATTATTGAGACAAAAATTTTTTACACTGATAAAGAAGCAATTTATACTTTAAAAAGCTTACTTTAAAAAGCTTCTTTATATACATATGATTTATATACATATAATTAAAAAAAGAAAATGAATTCTTTTTACTTCAAAGAGTAAGAAAAGCACGTATCAAAATAGCATTTTAAATATTATACATCAATATAACATGTTATAATTTTTACTTGAGAGACGATTCAAAAATGCTAGTTTTAAGTAGTACAATTTACTTAGATGCTACACTATCTTTTCTACATTAATAAATAAATAGTAATTTATTTTATTATCTTCATTTTCTAAATAATTTATTGATATTTATGATCTAGGTACGTATAGCAAGAAAATATAAAGTATTTGAGTAGTAAAAATCTGGAATTTCTTCAATATTGATACTCGTGAAAGTACGATATCAATGGGGTGTGTCTATCAGGATGAGTCACAAATTTTATAAAAGCTACATTTAGATACCAAACTCAAAAGATAAAGTTTGAACAAGATATGGATTAAATATAAGATTAAATAAAATTACAAAACCTAATTTTGGCTAATATTCTGTCTAATATTCTAGAAGACAATAGTAATAATAGTTGTTACGTCAGTAGACGCGTTCAACTGCCTAAATTGCAACAAGTGGTGAAGCAATTGTTTCGAGTTAATCGAACGTTAAGATAACGAGGGTTCGTCGGACCGATTAACGCTTTGAAATACAGGCAGAAGATAAAAAATGCTGGAACATTGAGTGACACACATTGATCGACGATTGCCTGAGGATTATTGAAATAATTGGATTCAAGGAAGTAGCTTGTAAAACGTAACAACGGATAACAAATATTTTTTAAATTATTGAAAGGAATCTTGTCGATAATGCGTTATCGATTAAGTCCAAATTATCTTCAATATGCAATCGATATGAAGTTCAAATTTAAAGTAGAAAATCTGCAGAAGTAGTAATTATTATTTATCAATGCAGAGTTTAATTTATCGCGATATTAATTACTATGATTGAAAATTAATAAGCCTTATTGTATTCTACGCGCTACTATGCAATCGGAGAAAATTATTTACATACTGATACTTTATCGATAATATTAAGCGATTAATCTTGCTAATATTATAATATTTATACAGGATATGTGCTTCATTACAATAAGTGAGCGCTTCGTCGTTTCATTGCATAATATATGACGACCTAGTAAATCAATATTAACTGCAATAACTTATTGGGTACTTATTGGACTATCAAATGGTACATTGAAATCTTTTAAATTTAATGTGACTTTGCCAATTTAAAGTGTTTAAAAAATTTATTAAAATAATATTCAATTATCTTTTATTTATTTCATCATTGTCAAGTTCAAATTATATAAAATATTTAACGTAATATAATTATACGCTTTTCGTGGAAATAATGTTCTTACACTTTTGTTTTAGAAATTAAAATCGCAATGGGGTCTCTTGCCAAGTCTCTGCCTTGAATTGCCTTTTATTGTTCAAAATTTGATTCATATTTTTTTTATGCTTACTTAAATTATCTGAATTACATGTAAGTATATACGAATATGAGAATTTTATTGAGGATAATGACAATATAAAATAAATCACTATTTATGTTTATTAATATAGAAACTTTTCTAAGACGGACGTCGAATCAAATGTCTTTCCCAGAATGATGCTAATAAACCTAAATGCTAATTGTAAGCAACATTCAAAAACGGATCATCTTCTGTGTAATAGTACTATTCTAACAAAAGAGGGCGAACCTGTAGTCCGTACTAGAGAAGGAACACATGAACGTACTACACAAGATAGAGAAAAGCCTTATATATCGAATGCTCACGTCATTCTCACGAACTCATTCATTTCCAAAACGGTTCGTTCACTTTCTTCGTTCACCACGTATATTGCCACTTGTATAAATCTTTCCAATGCAGTCGTTTATAAAACAACACTAGACACAAATACACACATTTGCTTGTTTCCAGATAACAAATAGACTTAATCCAGTAAGTTTAAAATGATGGTGGAGCAATACGATTTTCTCACGATTATTTTGGCGAAATCAGTTTCTGGACCGCTGTCTGAGTCAGACTGCCCTAACAGCGTGCGTCCTGCGCGGGAGAGCGTTTGCACACGGCACGACACGACGCGGAGTTTAATCTCTATTAATAAATACCCGCTTTGCCTCGGCCAGAATAGAGAGCAGCTCTCCACTGCCGGCTCTTTGAATTCATACGCGGTGTTTCATATCCGAGTTCGTGGCAAACGCGAACCGATTTCGTCTTTCATTTGATTTTTATCGATGGATACACAGGAAGAGATTGAATCGAGTTAGTAAAGAAACAATGTACGATCGAATTAGCGTTTGATATGACTTATGACTTTCAGACCTTGGAATATTATCCTGCAATATCCATCTTAAAATTTATCTTTTTTTTGTGGAAAAAGATATTTGTAGGAAATTTTGATATATATTCATACGCGGTTTAGTATGATCCTCGAGTTTGAATTTGAGCCAATTCTCGAACCACTGTTACGGAAACTCAATTTCCGGATTGAAAAACTAAAAATAGCTTAAAGCTTTCTTTTCATTTTGGTAAGCTTGAATTCAGTATTATTTAATTAAAAATATAAAAATATAAATTCCCATGCAATTCTATTTGGGGTAAGATATCATAAACAACTTATCAAACTGATAAGCGCTATCACGGGTATGGTATATCTTTCGACTAAATGAAATGCAAAGTAATTACGTATACAAAAAGACTTACAGAGAACTCAAAATAATTAAAAGATTATGATTTTTCAAGTATCAATTATTCCATATAATTAAAAGATTTGAAAAAGTATTGTACAGTATTAATAGTAGAAATCATACCTGAATTTAAATAAATTTGAATTGTAGATTTAAATTTAGTAGATAAAATAGCTTTCTATCATATTCATTATATTCATTATAAAAATATAAATTTACACGAATATCCGCAATAATAATTAGATATTAATTAATGAAAGTACATTACACATTTAGTTTTCATAGATTGAGCTGCATTTAAAGTGAGTCGGCAAAAGTATAAATTACGAAAATGTGTATACAAACTCAACTCACCAACGCGTTCCCCGTTGCCGCAGACAATACCTGTCGCCAAAGCCTAAAAAATATGGACATATATTATTAATTCCATTTGCCGACGTTTTGCCAATATTCATTATGTTAAAAAAAAAAGAGGAATGCAACTGTCCTTCTTTATTATATCGTGTTACCGTGTTAGAAACTTCTGCAGATTGAAATATAATGACATTTAAGGTTCACTGAATTTTCGTGAAACTCGATATTATCTTTGATAATTAAAACACATAGTGATGCTTTTGCCACGAAAATAATCACGACATTTAAGATCTCGGTTTTTAATTAATTTTTCTTTTTTCCAATATATCGTTTTATTTGGATTGAAGATTGTTGCAACAGGAAACTCGCATTCTTAAGTCATTTCATAAGTAGTAAGTTATAAAATACCACGTTATTTTTGAACCTTCGCAAGTGCAGCGAAGCAGTACTTTGAAAGGTTGCGATGCATTCTCCCTTTCTTAGCTTGAGAGCTAAGAGAAGAAAAAAATATTAGTTAAAAGAATACTTCTTACTCTGTTTAAACGATTTATTGTCATCAAATTGCATATTATGATAACATTATCAAGCTTATTTTAAGCTATTACATTTAGCTTAAATTTTTATTAAAAAAAATTTGTTTTAAATTAATTTTTATATTACTTTTTCGTATTATATTTCTTCTTCAATTAACAATTTTTCAAAAATTTATTATATTAAATATTATTTTTTTTATTAATGTTTCAGTGATAATAAAAAGATATTGATAACAAAATAACATACATATTATTCGATATTCAACGATTAGACAAATATCGAACGACAAAATTGTTGTGTATGTGGGCACTCTTTTGCAATTCCGAAACATGTTTTTCTTTCTACAACCCACATGGCTTTGTTCTCTTCTTTCTTTTTCTTCGAAGGATATATGGAAGATACCCATATAAATCTCAACGCGTGAATAAAGGTGTCAGATTGTAATTAACCAGAAGAACATGATATACAGGCGGCTGCAAGCGATTCTTAAGCTATTTTTTCGACGCAGGCAAACAAAAAAGGCCGAGTGCTCTGAGGAACAAGGTCACTGGATCCTAATAAGAGTTCGTGCCTAAATGAGAAACGGATGAATCACTACGAGTACAATTATCTTCAACAACTTCGTGAACTGATCATTACCATCTTTACTTACAATTTCACGGTAAATAAAGTCGTGTAATAAATGGTAAAAATGATAATCTATTTGTCTTTAAAGTTCGATAATTGCTTTTCTTTTTCTAATATTTAGTCACAGAAGATTTATAAATTTAAATACAAGATAGGTAATCGTAGAGAATATTTCGAAACAAAAAAAAAAAAAAATAATTGAGTATAATAACATAAAGATTTTTAAATTACCAATAACTGGCTATGGTTTTTAGATACAACGTATTGATCGGCATATTTGTGCAAAACTCAGTGCAAACGGGAGAGCTTCTCTATTAGATGTAACCTTCGCATCGATTTTATGTATAACAGAGGTCAATGACGTATTAGGTTCAACTATGCCTTAGAAATATAAAGAAGACGATAAGAATTTTTTAATCTTGATTTTTTTTTTTTTTTTTAATTGTACAAACGATATTAGATTTCAACTTTTGATTATGTTAATATACGTACGAGGTGTATCTTAATCGAGCAATAGAGAAACACACGCCCACATTCTTCAGTGCTAGAAAACGAGTCGATATTAGAGGTAGTCTGAGATACTCACGTTCATGGTGAAGGGACAGCTGACAGTCGATCCACGTAACACTCAACACTGCCACCA